TAAAATGGTTCATAAAAATGTCACTACTGAGATCAAGAGGGACACCTTGTTCCTTAGAGCTGTGGCTTCCCGTCAATCTGGCTACAGTGTTGAAGAGGAACCTGGGATTGTTATTATTTTACTCCATTAATTTTGAGACACACTTGTCAAAATCAAAGGGTGACCAACAGGGAGAGCCATGATGGAAACAGCACAGGTCTGTGCAGCTGTGGACATAGAGTAAGTGGCAGCTACTGTGGAGGGGGTGTGTGGTGTAAATAGTCAGACACGTGGGGCGCATTGTACTGTGTGCTGGATATTAGCAGCCAACATGCGGCTTCCTAATATGCTAGTTTAGCTACATTTCTCAGTAGCTCGGTGATAGCATCGCTGTTTTGTGAATCAAACAGATTTTCAGTAGTGAAGCTCTTTTATTGACCGAGTAGCGCGGTGGCTTCCACACATGCTACATTTTCCCAAGCATTTCTGAAGGATCAGTAAGTGACGCCACCGCCACACATGGACCTGTATGTGTGGAAACCAGGCCTCTAATAAATATATATATATATATATATATATATATAAATTTATTATAGTAAACTACTTTTGCCATGTTGCAACACGTTGCACATTTCACTGGGGGGGTAGCGTCTGTTTAGTGAAGCTTCAATTAATGTAGAGTGGCTAGTAGCTTATCTCAGTACATTTTACAAATAGCTTGCCCAACACTGGGTACAAGCGCACCTGGCTTTAAAAGGGAATGGGAGATAACACTCTGGTTTATTACATGTTACGCCCTTTGAACCATGCACCTACACACTGACCACCACTTTTTCAAACATTGGAGTTGGAAACGCCTCAAACTCACCTGCCGCATGCATGCGCTTAGATCGTAACACACACACACACACACACACACACACACACACACACACACACACACACACACAGCTGATTTCCTGTAAGAGGGGAAGAGCAACACTGATCAGGTGAGAACAGGGAGGAAACCTGAAGCTGAAAGAGTTCAGTCTCCATTTTGAGTGGACAGAGCAGGAGGAGGAAACTGAAGATTGAGGCAGGGTGAGTGTTAATCCAACATTTAGATTCTTTTCCTGTCAGAGTCTCTGAGGCAGTTTTTCTCTCTTGGCTGGAAATTTAGCTGTATTGGTGTATCAGCGTCACGTGTCATTAACCAACCAATCACAGCCTGGAGGGGCGGGGCATTATAAAAATTTTGAGGAGCTGCAACAAACTTTCATATGTTGAACTTTGCATGAAGCTTCTGATTATTGACGAGTCAGCACTTTAACACATTAGAGACTAACTGAAGCACCATGTAGAGCATTTTACTGCACGAGGAGTTAATGCATGAAAACAAGCCACAGAAACGAAACTGCTGGAACTGGAATTAATATTATACTAATGGTACACACTATATAGATTATTATAATGGATATGGTAACTAAATGGTAATAAACTTAACATTATACTAACAGTAATCTATTACATGGACATGGATATACTTTTAATTCAATGTTATAATATAATATAATATAATAAAGTCTCTGCAGTGGACAGATGTAGATTTAGAGCCAGGATTCCATTGTGCCAACATGTGCTCCTTCTAGCCGCCTCCTCCTGAGAGCAACACACTCCCCTTGTTCTGTTTTACTAAAGTTATTGTTCAGTAATCTTGTTCACATAAAGTGTGGTGCGGGTGGTGTATCATGTATCCACCCCTGGTTCAAAGTCCCACATTCCACAAACCTCGATGCACCAATCACAGCAGAGCAGGTAAAGGCTCGGGCTCCCATGGTGGAGAGGCGGAGTGGAGGGACTGGGAGGAGGTAATCTGGTTTTGCACAAGGAGCCAGTGAAGTTTGATGAGTGTGATATGTTCAGAGGATCTGGTGCAGCTGAGGATTCTGGCTGTAGAGTTCCGAACCAGTTGGAGTCAACTGATGAGTTTGGTTTGGATACCGGTGAGGAGAGTGTTGCAGTAGTCTAGACAGGAAGTGACAAAGGCAGGAGGAGAGTTTTAATGCTGGAGTGAGAGAGAGAGGGTCAGAGTCTAGAGATATTGTTGAGGTGGGAAAAGGCAGTCCAGGTGGTTTTTATGTGGAACTGGAAGGACAGGGTGTTATTCAAGGTCTTCTTACTGACCATTTCCTACATGTCACCATTTTCACCTAAATGAAATCCTGAACACAGACAACACACCAGCTATACTGGAACAAAAGAAAACACCTGAACTGAAGTCCAGAAGATGAAAGAGGAGGACAGAGCAGAGTCTGCAGGATCCAGCTGTCTGTCTATGAAGAGTGACGGGTCCGAACCTGAACCTCTAAATTTCAGTAATGAACCTGGACCTTCAGACACAAAGTAAGAGAACTGCTACTAACTCATTCAGTATGAAAGGGAAAACAATCATTTTAACACTAAACCTTTTTTTCAGTCTCCGCTCTAATTCATCCCAAAGGTGTTCTATCAGGTTGGGGTCAGTACTCTGTGCAGGCCAGTCAAGTTCTCCACATTAAACTCGCTCATTCATGTCTTTATGGACCTTGCTTTGAGCAGTGGTGGCAGTTATGTTAGAACAGGAAGGAGCAATCCCCAAACTGTATCCGCAGTTGGGAGCATGAAATTGTCCAAAATGTCTTGGTATGCTGAAGCATTAACAGTTCCTTTCACTGGAACTAAAGGGCCAAGCCCAACCCCTGAGAACAACTTCACACCATAGTCCCCCTCCACCAAATGCAGTCAGGCAAGTAGCATTCTCCTGGCAACCGTCAAACCCAGACAGGATAGCCAGACAGGGAAGCTTCATTCTTAACTCCAAAGAACATGTCTCTTGGTCTTGAGAAGTTAAAGCATTTATTTCCTGACACACTGTAACTGACACCGTGCTTGTAGTATATTTTCCTCTGCTCACATTAACTTTACATTGTTTAGTTCCAACAATGAATGTCTCTTCATGTCTTTTGCTGCATAAGAAATGAGTTTGATTTAGAAACAGTAAGGACACTCTCTCTCTGGTAGGATTTAAACGGACTGGTCTGTAAACTGGTAAATTCCAAAGCTACTTTAGTAATGTTTAGTGATAGACAGCGTTTTTTAACCTTAATGTGAGAAATGAAATCAGTTTGCAAACAAAAACTGTGAGACAATGTGTTTCCTTTCTGCACCATTTCACAGCAGAAACACTAAAGGCAAGATATGCAGAGAAAACAGCAGCACATGTGTGTGTGAGTGGAATTATTTGCTTATTTGCCGTGCTGCAGCGCGGTACCTGTAAAACACACATTTCCACTGTGGCTTTCATTGAATCTGCAGCCACACTCTTACACAATCAGCTGCTGGGACGACCTCCAGGTTCATTCTGGCAGTGAAGGAGAGCTCAGCAGGTTCAGTTCAGTGGAGGGATTTTATCATCACCAAACTCAGAGAAGAAATGATGCCGTTAAACAGCTGAACTCCACTTTAAACTATTACCAATAAAATGGTAATAATACAGTCTTTAGTACTAATTATACTACCAATGCAACAGGAGTAAATGAATTTAATGTGAGATGAAAAGCAGATGGAGTGACATAAGATGCATCAAAGATGCACAAAACGCACACAAGCACATGAGTGAGGTAAATCCATACGAGTGCAGTTCCAACCTGCAGTGATTTTACAGCTCAGTGAACATCAAGTTAAAATAAAGTTTAACAAACACAAATCACAGCACCCTGTTAATCACAATATGACGTGTTCACATTACAGTCATTTGGCTTTTGTCCGAAGGAGTAATAATATAGTTCATTATGTTGCTCAAGGACACTTGGGACATGTGGACTGGAGCTCAAGTTTCAAACCACAAACCTTGTGATCAATGGCTGAGCAGCTGAGCTGCAGCCGCTCATGTTAATGTGCTTTGTGATGCCAAATGCACAGTCTATCTTTAGAATAAAGTGTCAAATTCAAATTTAAATCATATTTTAAGTTATATTATTATCTATATTAAAGTATATTCTCTCAGACTTTGTGGCTGTGGACTCTCAGAGACTCACTGTGAAGTCATGGCCTCAGCTCTGAAGTCCAACCCCTCCCATCTGAGAGAGCTGGACCTGAGTAACAACGAGCTGCAGGATTCAGGAGTGAAGATGCTGTCTGCTGGACTGGAGAGTCCAAACTGCAGACTGGAGACTCTGAGGTCAGATACCAATTTTTCCTCCTGTGCTGAGATTAATATGATGTGAAAGTTGTGGTGACACCATAGTGATAAGGCTGATATTATAATGATCCACATTGAGTATCTTAATGCTAAAGCCTTTCTTCTTCTTCAGTGGTTACATCCATTGACTGTGGCAGAGCAACGTTGAGCTCCACATTTAAAAGCTTAATATAACAAGAAAAATCTCCACTAAATAATTCACTCTGAACCTCTTAAACTTCTGATTTTCAGCTTCTATTCCACATCATGTTTTTAAAGAAATGATAATAAAACTATATGAATTCAATGAAGAAATAAATAATCTCTATTTCAACTATCAGACAGTAACAAATATATTCAGTATATGTTGGCTGGCCCCGTCGCCACTCCTCACCTCCGAAAACTTTCAAGCACATTTTTGTTCCACCATCACTTTTCATAAAACTGCCAATATAAGAAATCTACACAGTTGATTTCTCAGCTCAAAACTTCTCAGAAGTGGATTTAGTTATGAAATAATGTAAGAAAATTGTGAAATATAAAACTTCCTGTTGCTGGCCTCTGTCTAGGGCACACAAAGATGATGCAGTGAATAGTGGCGATTCTCTCTGACCAATGAGTAGTTTGCCATGTTTTCACATCACATTTTAATATCGCATCACCTCGCTTGGAACCTCAACAGAGGTGAAAAAAAATACGTGTAAGCAGGTATAGGAACTTTTCCACAATGGAAAACCAAAAAAGGCGAGGCGAGCCGAACTGGTACTATGCAGTGGAAAAGGGGCTACCGTCTTCTAAAGTTACATCATTATTCTTTATTCAGATTGTGGGGGTGCAGTTTGTCAGAGATCAGCTGTGCTTCTCTGGCCTCAGCTCTGAAGTCCAACCCCTCCCATCTGAGAGAGCTGGACATGAGTGACAACAAGCTGCAGGATTCAGGAGTGAAGCTGCTGTGTGGTTTTCTGGAGAGTCCATACTGCAGACTGGAGACTCTGAGGTCAGTTCACTGACTCTCTGTTACTATTGTAGATCTGATATGCTTAACAATTGAAGGTAATTTCTGTTCATACATAACATTCATCCATAAAGTTGTAAATGTCCTTTAGTTCATATTTTCATGTTTCTTGTACTAAATTTAGTCTGCAGTCACAAAGACTTGTGTTTCTTAAAAAAACTGTGGAAAATGTCCGCTGTTAGTCGTTAAAGTAAATTAATGTTTCTAATTTTTGGTAAATGGTCACATCTGTATACAGAAAATCCTGTGAACTAATATTAGTTTTAAACTGATCAAGTTTGCTTGTTGAAGTAGAAATATGTCTTTGGTTTCTGTTGGTTTCAATGTGTTTTCACAAAGAATTTCTTATTGCTGATATTGATCCTTCAGAACACCTACTTAGCTACCTACCTACGATCCGCAGCATGTTATTATATTATCTATGTTGATGAATAGGTGTATGAATGTTCAGAATCAGTTTTATTCACCAGGTATGTGTTCAAGTTTATTTATATAGCACATTTAAAAACAACACTAGTTGACCAAAGTGCTTTCCACAATAGACAACAAATATACATGACAATAGTAGAAAAAGTAAAAAATAAAATAAATGTCACTACTCAACTCTGTTTGAAGGCCAATGAATAAAGATAGGTCTTTAGCAAGGATTTGAAAGTGTCAGGAGTTTGGGCATTTCTTATTTGAACAGGTAAAGTATTCCAAAGATTAGGAGCAGCTACTGAGAAGGCTTGGTCACCTTTAGTTTTTAACCTGGATCTGGGGACATCAAGGAGCATCTGATTGGATGACCTCAGTGCTTTGACCGGAGTGTCTACATGTAAAAGTTCTGATAAATAAGAAGGTGCCAACCCATTTAAAATTTAAAAACAAGCAATAAAATCTTAAAATCAATCCTAAAGCTGACAGGAAGCCAGTGGAGCGAGGCTAAAACAGGTGTAATGTGCTCACGCTTTTTAGTTCATGTTAGAAGTTGGGCTGCTGCATTCTGGACTAACTGTACCGATGGAGAGACGACTGATCCACTCCAACATTCAAAGAGTTACAGTAGTGGAGACGAGACGTTATAAATGCATGTATTACTCTTTCAAAGTCTTTGCGTGGTAGGTAGGGCTTGACTTTGGCCAACAGTCTCAGCTGAAAGAAACTGGCTTTTTACTACAGAACTAATCTGTTTTTCAAACTTAAAAGCACTGTCAAAGATCACACCTAGATTCTTGGTAAATGGACGACTATATGTTCCTAAAGTACCAAGAACATCTATACAAGCACTTAAATCCCCAGGTTGACTGAACACAACAACCTCAGTCTTACTTTCATTCAGACAGAGAAAGTTCTGATCCAACCATATTTTAAGATCTCTCAGGCAGTTGAGCAAGGACTGAGTTGCAGCTTTGTCATTAGATTTTACAGGTAAATAGATTAGGATGTCATCTGCAAAGCAATGAAAGGAGATGTTGTGTTTTTTGAAAATGGACCCCAATGACTCCCACTTCAGGTCCTGGGATAAAGTGGAACCCAGAATCCTGAAGGATTCCACAGCAGACACAAGGCTGTTGAGTATGGTGATGGGCGGGCAGAGTGGGGGGGCTCCTTAAGCTCCTTAAGCTCCAGGTTGTTCTGACTGCACCAGAGAGCCAGCTGATCAACCTCCCGTCTGCAGGCCGACTCGTCACCGTTCCGTATGAGGCTGATGACCGTTGTGTTGTCACCAAACTTCAGGAGTTTGACAGATGGGTCTCCTGAGGTGTAGTCATTGGTGTAGAGGGAGAAGAGCAGCGGGGAGAGCACACACCCCTGGGAGGCGCCAGTGCTGATAGTCCGGGTGCTGGATGTGATGTTTCGCAGTCTCACCTGCTGACTCCTGTCAGTCAGGAAGTTTGTGATCCACTGACAGGTGAAGGCTGGCACAGTGAGCTGGGTGAGTTTGGTGCTGAGGATGTCCGGGATGATGATGTTGAACGCCGAGCTGAAGTCTTTAGCAGATTTCAGTTTTTGCCTGTATGTCAGAATAAGATGAACCAGACAGTGATCAGAGAGTGCCAAGGCTGCACAGGGAACAGAGCGATAGGCGTCCTTAAATGTAGTGTAGCAGTGGTCCAGTGTGTTAGTGTCCCTGGTGGGACACTTAATATGTTGTCTGTACTTTGGGAGTTCATGGCTGCGGTTTGCTCTGTTGAAATCCCCAAGAACAATGACCAGGGAGTCTGGATGTTCTTTCTCCGCGTTAGTTATCTGGTCGGCCAGGTGTAGTAATGCCTCACAAACACAGGCCTGAGGTGGAATGTAAACCGCAATCAGGACAAACGAGGAAAACTCCCGCGGTGAATAAAAAGGTTTACAGTTGATGAATAATGTCTCTAAGTGAGGGCTGCATGATTTCTTCAACACTGTGACATCTGTGCACAAACCTTCGTTTATATAGAAACAGCGTCCTCCTCCCCTTGTTTTTCCTGTGAGCTCTGTTACACGGTCCGCACGAATGAGATTAACTCCCGACAGTAAAAGTGTGCTGACCGGGATGTGCGGGGTAAACCAGGATTTGGTAAAACGGAATGCGGCAGATCTGCAGAAGTCTGAGTTAGTTCTGTTGAGGAGAATCAGTTCGTCCATTTTGTTGGCCAGAGAGCAAACATTCACCAGGTGGATTGAAGGGAGCGCAGTGCGAAAACCCTGCAGTCTCAGTATAACCAGTGCACCTGCACGTTTTCCTCTTCAGCCTCTCCGGTAGATCTCATATAGAGCTGCTGCTCCTCCAACTAATAACTACATGAAAGTTCCAGGTTCGATAAAGAGCGGTGGAATAGTGTGAGCACGTTGAAAGTCCAAAGTTTAAGAGCTTTTCTCTGGTAAATGTTACCATAGAGGGACAGCAGAAAACATAATATATAAACAAAAACACAAAAAGCACTACGGAGCAAAATCCAGAGGCTGCCGTCTGCGGCTCCATCTTGATATTAAATAATGTTGAGTATAATGTTGTGCTGACATTTGGATGATGTCTATAGAAGGCTGGAGGGCGGAGTCATGTGACTACACATGCGGTAGGATGTTTTAAAGGGAAAGTACATGCGCACACACACACACACACACACACACACACACACACACACACACACACTCTATTAACAGGATTAAATAACCAACATGGGAAAATTATGTCGGTTAGAGGCTCTGAATTTCGGTTTCAATTACTTTTCAATTAATCGTCCAGCTCTATGATCCACAATAACACAATGACAAAGTCCCTCTACTCATTTTAGAGAAAAGCTCATTGATTAGGACATAGTAATGTTGATCTACACATTTAAAACCTGAACACATCTGATTGGATTAGAAATGGATTTTTATCTCCATTTATTCTTTATTCAGGTTGAGTTACTGCTGTTTGTCAGAGATCAGCTGTGCTTCTCTGGCCTCAGCTCTGAAGTCCAACCCCTCCCATCTGAGAGAGCTGGACCTGAGTGACAACGAGCTGCAGGATTCAGGAGTGAAGCTGCTGTGTGGTTTTCTGGAGAGTCCACACTGCAGACTGGAGACTTTGAGGTCAGACATTTTTTCCTTCTGTGCTGAGATTAATGTGATGTGAACATTGTGGTGACACTAAAGTGCAGACATAAGTCTGATATACTGATCCACACTGAGTATCTTAGTGCTAAAGTCTATCTATGTTGTAATATCACATGCAAACGTCAATTCCTTGATGAGAAGTTAATGATGTTCTACGATATACTGCAAAGTGGTTCCAGATGAACAAACTTTCATTAAATATAGAAAAATCTAATTTTATAATTTTCAGTAATAAAAATAAAAGGTATTTAAAAGAAGATGCTATTGCAAATTGTATATTAACAATATTGAAATCAACAAAGTTACGTTAGCAAAATGTTTAGGTGTCCCCTTTCTATCAAAACTAGTCCATTATTGTCAGTATTTAAGTCAAGCATGTCATAGTTAAAATTTGTGTGTTGTGTATGTTTTATTTATTCATTTATCATTATTGTTATTTTTTTCAATAATAATTTTGCATAATATCAATTGAAAATCCAGAAGCGAGGTTTTATTATAAGACCTTGGGTTTTTCTTACTTCTCCTGCATAATTCATAAGGTGTATTTTTATATATTTTTATTTGTCTTTGTCCTACTAATATATATAATTTTTTTTTTCTTCTTCAGTGGTTTAGTCCATTGACTGTGGCAGAGCAGTTTATATACAACAAGAAAAATCACTACTGGATAATTCGCTCTGAACCTCTTAAACTCCTGATTTTCAGCTTCTATTCCACATCATGTTTTTTTTTTATAAAACTACATGACTTCAATTAAGAAATAGATAATCTCTATTTCAACTAACTAGACAATAAAAACTATATTGAGGATTTCCCCAAAGTTCATTCTGACATCTTTGGGATCTTGAGTGGAATCTTAATTCAGTTTCTGTGGGTTTTTCATTTCATTTCATTTATTTATTTAAGGACAGTGCACATTAATCAACATTTCTGTAAATGTGCCAGTGTTAGCCAGCAGGCTAATTTTCAACTGTAGTCCATTGGCAAGATGTTATACTAGGCACATAATAGCTTAAAAGAAACAAAAATAATAAAACACATTAAGTCACACAGCAATTGATATACAACAATAAAACATAATGCCATAGCACTGGCTCCATTAAAACATAACATCATAAAACATATAACATATAACCATACATCCATACAACTGTTAGGGCATTAATAAAGTTACCATCTAACCATCTATTTAGCATACATATAACAAAAGTTACACGACAGCTAAAATATAGAGACAGACATACATTATTATTATGAGAGGTGTTCACATTTTTGTATGCTCAAAAGCCAGACCTTAAGATGGTGTGAGAATGTATGGTATGAGGTGGAATTTCTAATATCCACAGGCAATTGGTTCCATAGTTTAGAGGCTCTCACAGAAAAGCATAATTGGCCAAAGGAACTGGACCTACGAGGGACTACACAGTCCCCTCTTAAGGCAGACCTTGTGGTTCTGCTGCTAGATGACTTCTGCTGTATAAAAGTACAGAGTGGTGGGGGAGCCTTCCCATTAATGATTTTAAAGATTAGGCATGCATCACTGTGTTTTAAAATATTTTCCCAATTGAGTAGGTTATAAGTATTAAGAATGTTACAGTGGTGGTAAAGTTGGGGTTTTTTGTCCAATACTTTAAGTGCTTGTTTGTAAAGTGATAAAATAGGCCTTAGTGTTGTACTGCATACCTGGGTCCAGCTTGTCATACAATATGTTAGGTGAGGAATTATCATAGTTGTCATGTATAGCTTTGCTACAGGTGTTGTCAAACAGTTCCTTATATACTTAAAGTTCGCTAGGTTATATTTGGTTATTTGCACTACCTTTCTCACTTGATGTTTAAATGATAGAGTAGAGTCAAGAATAATGCCTAGATATTTGAACTGTGTAACTGTTTGAATGACCTCCCCAGACACACAGACATTGGGTTCACAATGAGATACAGTGTTGCTTTTACTAAAAAACATACATACTGTTTTCTTAACATTGAGATTCAGCTGTGAGCCAGTAAGCCATTTACGTACATGTACCATTGTATCGTTGAGCTTGGCAACAACTTTTCTTTGTGTTTGGCTGCAGAGCATGAGTTTGTATAGATGGAGCCACTGGTGGAGCTGCAGAGTTTAAGAGGTGAAGTTACTACATCTTTACTGAAGTAGCAGCACGTTGTCATTAATATTAATGAGAGCTCTTTTTACCTTTTTTGTATTTTACAGTTTGAAGCTGCATCCTGTTGGGTTCAGGTGTTTGGAGTTTCCATTTTCTAAACTTCTACATTCTAAACCTTCTTCAGCTCTGAAAAGATTGTTACTGCTTTATTCAGATTGGACAGCTGCAGTTTGTCAGAGATCAGCTGTGCTTCTCTGGCCTCAGCTCTGAAATCCAACCCATCCCACCTGAGAGAGCTGGACATGAGTAACAACAAGCTGCAGGATTCAGGAGTGAAGCTGCTGTGTGGTTTTCTGGAGAGTCCACACTGCAGACTGGAGACTCTGAGGTCAGTTCACTGACTCTCTGTTACTATTGTAGATCTGATATGCTTAATTAACAATTGAACCTAATTTCTGTTCCATCCATAAAGTTGTAAATGTCCTTTTGTTCATATTTTCATGTTTCTTGTACTAAATTTAGTCTTGACTTGTGTTTCTTAAAGAAATTGTAGAAAATGGTTAGTCATTAAAGTAAATATGTTTCTAATTTTTGGTAAATGGTCACATCTGTATACAGAAGATCCTCTGAACTAATTTTTTCAACTGATTGTTTACTTGTTGAAGTAGAAATATTTCTTTTTTCTGTTGGTTTCAATGTGTTTTCACAAAGAATTTCTGATCACTGATATTGATCCTTCAGAACACACACACACACACACACACACACACACACACACACACACACACACACACACACACACACACACACACACACACTGGCCTGAGATCACCAGCATGTTATTATCTGTGTTGACATGAATAGGTGTATGAATGTTGTGCTGACATTTGGATGATGTCTGTAGAAGGCTGACATTATGATGATCCACAATAACACAATGACAAAGTCCCTCTACTGATTTTAGGGAAAAGCTCATTGATTAGGACATAGTAATGTTGAGCTCCATATTTAAAACCTGAACACATCTGATTGGATTAGAAATGGATTTTTATCTCCATCATTTATTCTTCATTCAGTTTGAGGTGGTGCAGTTTGTCAGAGATCAGCTTTGCTTCTCTGGGCTCAGCTCTGAAGTCCAACCCCTCCCATCTGAGAGAGCTGCAGCTGATCTACAATGAGCTGCAGGATTCAGGAGTGAAGCTGCTGTGTGGTTTTCTGGAGAGTCCACACTGCAGACTGGAGACTCTGAGGTCACACACCATTTTTTCCTTCTGTGCTGAGATTAATATGATGTGAAAGTTGTGGTGACACTAAAGTGCAGACATAAGGCTGATATTTTACTGATGCACACTGATCTTAATGCTAAATTCTGATTTCTTTTTCAGTGGTTTAGTCCATTGACCATGGCAGAGCAATGTTGAGCTCCAAATTTAAAAGCTTAATAACCATTCAGATACTGTAGCATGAGATCGTTTGATTCTATTTACCATAAAAACCTGGAGGACATAATACAACATCAAAAATCCTCTTCATGCTGCCTTGATATTCTGCAAACAGGTTTTTTCAAAAATGTTTCTAAATGCAGATCTACAGCAAATTGTCAACACGTCTCTCCTCTCAGGTTTTTTCCAACAGGCCCTGAAAATTGCAGTCATTAAGCCACTCTTAAAAAAGAGCAATCTAGACAAGTCACTAATGCAAAATTATAGGCCCATGTCAAATCTCCCATTTTTTAAGTAATATCATTGTAGCATGTCTACTTATGTTTTAATAAACATATGAGAATTAATACCAAATTATGATTTTTAATATTCAGAAAATATTAAGTCATACAGCTTCTTGTTTCGTGGGACACCACCCGAGATTCCGTTTGCCCAGGGTCTCGGGATTCTCTGGGTATCGTTAATAATTATACAATTATTCACTAGTGATTAGTTAGTTAACAATCGCTCAATTATCTTAAATCAATCAATCAGTCTCATATCGAAGGGTTAAATTCTCATGACAGGGACTTGGAGACAGGCAATACACACACAATTCCTTTGATTACAGTGAAATTTATTAACTAACTAAGGTGACATAAAAATGCAGTTAAATATACATCAAAGAAATAAACAATGGCTAAACAATGAGAATGTGGGGTTCTATTATGGGGAGAATCACACGGGCACACGGGCAGTTAATGAACGCAAGCTATGAGTTTTAAGGACTAAAGATAATGGATTAACAGACTATTTAATATCACTGACCACAGAATGCAGGGTTTTTGGTCTTACTGCTTGTTGTTTCTCCCAGCCGGGTTGCTGGTAGGCAGCCTCACGCTGGCTGAGTTCCGTGCGTTCTCGGTTAGGACAGCTTAAAGCCGTCACTTTCTCTGCCAGGGAATTGCTCCGGTCCTTTGTTACTGCTGGCGGGACAAATGGATGGATTCGGCTTCAGTGAGATTAGCTCGACAAATAAAGCTTAAAAAGAACTTGGTCGTTAACAAACAAAAGAAAAGCATTTTGTTGGAAACGAGGGAAAAATCGAGGTCGTGGTGCTTCGTGTGTGTGGCTTGAAAACGAACAAAGGGCCTTTGCTGTGCTGGGTCGAACTTCTTAGGGCGTTGCCGGGAGACGGGGCACGCTGGACGCGTGCCGAAGTGCAGTTGGAGAGAACAAGAACAAGAGAGTACAAGAGCGTGCGAGACAGCGTGGGTCGCTGCTTTTGTCTGTTGGGGTGTGGTTCCCATTTACATTTACTCATTTGGCAGACGCTTTTATCCAAAGCAACTTACATTTGATGAACAACATACAAGCATCAACAGAGCATCAACTACAGATCTACAACTGACAATACATACTAGTAAGAGCAGCAATAAAGACTAGTAAGAGAGGGCAGAGGGCAGTCCTTTGTTCCACTGGGGAGGGCTTGTCTCCGGTTTCCTGAGAGACTGTCTTTCTTTAACTTTTAATATGTCTAATCAAAAATCTATTTGCGCGTATTCAAATCAAATACCTTCCCACAATCAAACCTTAATTGTCAAACGGGTATACCGTTCTTAGTTTTAAGCATTTCATAAAAGGGAAAAAAACTGTTAGTTAAACCTTGAGGTTAGCATTTCCTAGGAATCACATCAAATGAGAGGAACTTAACTAGCTTTCTGGATATATTATACTTGTATAGTGCCTTTCTAGTCTTTTTGACCACTCAAAGCGCTTTTACACCCACATTCATTCACTGAGCCTAAGTGCTGAAACAGAAACTAACATTCACACACTGGTGGAACAGCCACCAGGGGCAATTCAGGGTTCAGTATCTTGCCCAAGGACACTTTGACATGCAGCCTGGGGGAGCCGGGATGGAACCACCAACCTTCCGATTAACGGCCAACCTGCTCTACCTCCTGAGCCACAGCCGCCCCAATTATTGGCTGTTACATGTTCTTAGAGAATATAAACAAGATACACGAATGGCATTAGATTATGGACAAGATAAATACAGAGTGACATTTATACATTAAACGATTTCAGATGATGGCATGTAATACTTATTTTGTCCACTTGGGGGCGCTCAGGTTACATGACAATAGCTTTGATTCACCCTAAAACAACCTCCTTCAGAAAGTGTTGGGAACAAAGCATTGATTACAACAAAATGAATAAAGGTCAGGGATTCTTGAAAATAAAAACACAGCAAAAGTAACTTATTTAGATTCTTTTCAACAACAAATAACACCAACATGGTAACATAACTACTCAAATGGAGTGGAGAGACCTAGTCAAGTAATTAAAAGATTATTTAATTAAACAAGGTAATGCTTTGAGTTTTGAGGAGGCAGTACTCTTTGTTTACACAAAGAGTTCAGGGCAGTCTTTCGGGTGTCCTGGAGTTCCTCACGAATTTACAACTGGGTGTGAAGAGGAAAATATCCTTTGATGTGAGGTAATTAAACAAAGAGGGAGGACGATTGCCATGGTTACGTGTGTGGGGGGCAGTTTAGGGTTTCCTGCCCTCTTTCCAAAAGAGTTTTGATAGGCTGTTTGTAATCTCTGGTTAGTGTTTCTTTGTCATTTTAACAGTCAGGCACCAAGCGTTATCTGGCTGTGACATCAGAGGTGGCAAGTTTTACAATCGAACTGCCCAGAAACAGCACTTAGGGAAAGTAAACTTTTCACCTCTTCCTTTGGGGTCTCTTTAGACATCTGTTGAGAGTTGATATCTCACCTCTCTCTGAGAGAGAGAGAGAGAGAGAAGGAATTTTGAGTCTCCAAATTATTTGATATAAAATGCACAAATCCACACTGTTTGTTCACAACATCATTGAAAAAGCTGTTTTTCAACAGCTTAGTGCTTTTTTGGCACTAAATAACTGTTTTGATGTCTTCTAGTCAGGATTTCGACCACACCACAGCACTGAGACACTTCTTGTTAAGGTCTTCAATGACATCTATTTAAACACTGACGGTGGCAGAATCTCAATCTTAGCATTATTGGATCTCAGTGCTGCATTCAACACGGTCGACCACAACATATTACAAGACAGGCTTGAAAACTTGGTTTGACTTTATGGCACAGTCTTAAACTGGTTTGAATCCTACTTTAAGGACAGGAACTACTTTATGTCTATAGGTAATTACATATCTGAGCAAACAAAACTGACCTGTGGAGTTCCCCAAGGCTCCATTCTGGGGCCTCTTTTGTTTGACATTTATATGCTTCCACAGGCTCAGATTATGAAAAACAACAAAATATGTAACCATAATTGATGATACACAGATTTACATAACCATATCACCAGGGAACTATCCCATACAAGCGCTGAGTAACTGTATTGAACAGGTCAACAATTGGATGTGCCAGAATTTTCTTCAGTTAAACAAATAAAACTGAAGTTATTGTTTTTGGAGCCAAGGAAGAACAATTGAAAGTCAGTGCTCAGCTTCAAAAGGTAATGTTAAGAACCACAAACCAAGCCACAAATCTTGGTGTTGTCATGGACTCCACCTGAATTTAAGGAGCCACATTAAGACATTTACAAAGTCAGCCTACTATCACCTGAAGAATTTATCAAGGATTAAAGGACCTATAGATGGAGCCACTGGTGGAGCTGCAGAGTTTAAGAGGTGAAGTCACTACGTCTTTATTTAAGTAGCAGCACGTTCTCATTAATGTTAATGAGAGCTCTTTTCCCCTTTTTTTATTTTACAGTTTGAACCTGCATCCTGTTGGGTTCAGGTGTTTGGAGTTTCCATTTTCTTCAACTTCTACATTCTAAACCTTCTTCAGCTCTGAACAGATTATTAAACACTGAATGATTTCAAACAGGAACATTGTCTTCTAAAGTTACATCATTTATTCTTTATTCAGATTGTTGGGCTGCAGGTTGTCAGAGATCAGCTGTGCTTCTCTGGCCTCAGCTCTGAAGTCCAACCCCTCCCATCTGAGAGAGCTGGACATGAGTGACAACAACCTGCAGGATTCAGGAGTGAAGCTGCTGTGTGGTTTTCTAGAGAGTCCACATGGTAGACTGGAGACTCTGAGGTCAGTTCACTGACTCTCTGTTACTATTGTAGATCTGATATGTTAACAATTTAACCTAATTTCTTTTCATAACTTCCATCCATAAAGTTGTAAATGTCCTTTTGTTTATATTTTCTTGTACTAAATTTAGTCTGCAGTCACAAAGACTTGTGTTTCTTAAAGAAACTATTGTCCACTGTTAAAGTATATTTACATTTTAGCTGACGCTTTTATCCAAAGCGACCTAACACTTCCTATATATGTCAGAGGTCGCACGCCTCTGGAGCAACTAGAGGTTAAAGTGTCTTGCTCAGGGACACATTGGTGGATGGGTCACAGTGGGGATTGAACCCAGGTCTCTCACACCAAAGACAGGCATCTTATCCATTGCGCCATCACCACCCCTGTAAATGTATATCTGTAATTTTTGGTAAATGGTCACATTTGTATACAATAGATCCTCTGAACTACTATTTGTTTTAAACTGATCAAATTTACTTGTTGAAGTAGAAACACACACACACACACACACACACACACACACACACACACACACACACACACACACACACACACACACAGGCCTGAGATCAGCAGCATGTTATTGATCTGTGTTGACATGAATAGGTGTATGAATGCTGTGCTGACATTTGGATGATGTCTGTAGAAGGCTGACATTATGATGATCAACA